CTCATTTGTGTACTAATTTGGATAATACTTTTTTATTTGAAAAGGTATAATACTGTCCATTTGTGTCCCAACAGTCTTTTCAAACTAACAAATAATACCACTCAAGGGTGGACAGTTACTTGATGAAAACAGACAGACAGTTTATTAATATTTATTTTAGTGTAGGCGCTTTGAAGTCGGTTATATTTTTTAAATTTAATTGAATTATGGTATAAAGCTTGTTCAATTCAAGGCTGTTATTACACCATAACAATATAAACAGCAGTACAGTATAATTAAACCTTATAAAAACTAGTTTTGTATCGGTTGCAACATCACGCTTGTTTAGTAAACACAATTACAGTAATTAATATCACTTCAAACTTATTGACCGTGAGTGATCTTACATAGCCTATAAATTTTTTTCAAGTCTGACCGGTAATCCTAAAAATTAACAGTCAATTGTTTAAACAAAAAAAAAGTTTTTATGAAATAGGTGGCGAACAAGTAGATTGGTGACCTGATGTTAAGTGATTACCATCGCTCATGGACATCTGCAACTCACTCAGAGGTATGTTGCCGCCTTGACACTCGAAGTCAAAACACTTGTATCAAGACCTGTCCTGTAGCACGATTTAGATCCTTATTAGGTCCAAAATCACATTGGACAATTTTGATTTTTCAGGACGTGTTACATTAAGGTGATTATTTGCCACGATACATATTAATTGCATAATTTATGCCTATGCTGTATACATTTCCTGTGGAGCATCCCTATCTTCTTTCAATTAAAAATCTCAGATGTACTTAGGACCAGTTTTCCCCTACACTAAACTAAGAAAATGCATAACTACACTATACTAACTATAATAATAAAATCTATAGATTGTTTGTGTTGTTAGTTTATATAACAATAATAAATATTAATATATATATATATATATATATATATAAATATATTAATAATATAGGTGTTTATTTAGTTACATAATATTAGATTTTTTAACTGCACTTACTCTCCATTTCTATTTCTTTCGTCAGCCCATTTTCCATTACTAGTAAAATGTTTTTTTTTTTTCTAAAACGTAAAATTAACCTTAACTTTTTAAAAGAAGAACTTTTCATTAAAAATTGGAAACTGTTCACTCAGTTGCCGTCAATTTAACATATTTAAACTATCTCGTACATTTTTCCTTGGATATAAGAAAATAATGTAATTTTTATATATCTTTGTATCACTAAGTTATTACGTGAATGTATTTATTGCGCAAAGTGTATTAAATATTGAACGATTAATTTAACATAAAATTGTTTGAATACTTTATTGTACATTATGTAAATATTGACTTTCGAAGATTTCTTAATACGACTCATAATAATAACCCTCTATATAATACATCCTGTAGCCCTGTTTTTATTGGACTTTTGTATGTGGTGTGGTGTGTGTTCCCTTGGGTATAGTATCTACATCTGCATTGATGGCATTGATGGTATTCATATTTATAAATAATAGACGGAGTACATTGCCTGACACTGCCTAAGAATGACCCTGGAAAGTTGCATAACCCTTTGATAGAGGTCCCCCGTATAGTTTGAAACTAGTCGGCCGTCTTCGAAACACTTGAGTAAAACGTATTTTCTTTATAATCACCTTGTTTCATATTTTCTTAGTTCGTTTTCTTATTTGTGTTGTGGCAAAATACGAAATCATATCGTTCTTATGTGTAGGCTACCTCAGGCAGTTTCATTCCAGTATTGATTTGTTATTAATACGTTACGTAATTATTATTTTCTACAGCCGCATAAATTTGAATTGACCTTTTAGTTGAATTTTAAACAGGAATTTCGCGTGTTATTAATTATAATAAATGGACGTATTAGAAATAGAGAGAGTAAATAAATATTTACTTTTTTCTGTGGAAATTTCTGCATATACTTTTCTGTACCTTACGCTTAAAATATCCCGTTTCGTCATTATTAATATTAAATGCATACCATTCTTGCATTGGCATTTAGGTATAATATTACGCAGCAGAAATAACAGCAATTTACTTTCATAGTTATGGCGTATGATAAATTAATTATCTATGGCATTGATGTGGAAATGTATAAAGCTAAAAATGTTTTACATTGTATGTTGACGTAACATAACATACGAAAGGCTAAGGTATCTTTCTACACGGTATTAATTGACGTATTTTAAGCTTTCTATATCTGATGGACAGGAATGTCTCAAACTCTTTGGAATAGATAGATAAAAAGATAAAAGCCGTTGTTTTTTTGCGTCCATATTTTAATTCCAAATGCTGGGCTTTAATCCTCTATGGCCGGGGCCATGAAGTTCGCGGTGAACCAGGCAGCGCGAGTAGCGAGAACGTTTTTTTTGTAATGGACAGCCTTAATGCCCGTGGAGCACTTTATGAATTTAGCTGTTTCATTTATGCAAACCCTATACCAACCCGTCTGTCCAGCGTGGTATAGTAGGCCAAAACCTCCTTTCTAAGGAGAGGCCTATATCCAGCAGTGGATTATTCAAGGCTGTTGATGTGATTCATGCATGTGGACAATTTCTTGGTTGTATTGTTAAGAAAATTTTGCCGACTTCTGTGAACAAAATTTTGTGATACTAGGAATTTTATATTTTAGAATTTTATTAAGTTTATATCTAAGTGGAGAAAGTTATAAAATTTAAACTATATATTTAACAAATTTAAACAGCTACATCAAGTTACGTCGTATATGTGGACCTGTCATGGCCTGTAAAGGTTATAAAATGACAGTTTAAGTTATACTGGTAAAATGAAACAAAATAGTCATAGTCGAAATAGCAAGATAAACATGGGAGTAGTAAGTTTAAAAATTCTGATTCACGTAAAGAACACGATGAACAGTGCAGAAGCTTTGCTCATGAAGAATGCCTCTATTTCCGTTCCGTGGTCCGTGTGGTGACGGATCAAGAATACAGAGTGTCACCACCCCTATTCATCCCGTGGGTGTCGTAAGAGCCGACTAAGGGAGCAAACTACGCAGAGCAATGGCACTGCAAAGAGAGGGAAAGCTTAAAGCAAACCCTATACAAAACTCGTCTGGCCAGCGTGGTATAGTAGGTCAAACCCTTATTTCTAAGGAGAGGCCTATGTCCAGCAGTGGACTACTAAAGGCTGTTGATGTGATGTGATGATGATTTCCATTCTAGAACCCAGTCGTCAAAAGTACACGAAACGTTTTATCTTAAAATATCTAAATTGTATTTAAAACAAATATTGATAACATTATACATTACATATTTGAGTTGAGGTTCGTGCACTCCTGAAGATTTATTTCTGACCATTTCAGGAATTGTTCTTCTTGTAGCTTTTCCTTGCGCACTACCAGAAGAAGCTTATGAATAGCAGTAATTGTTTATGACTATGTTTATCTTCATATTTTTGAGCACCGCTATAAAGTTATCAAATACACTGTAGTACTGTGCGAAAGCTTTTTTCGAATTCATTGAACTCAACTCACAATTCATTCAACGGACCACTAATCCTGTAACTGCTGAAGAACCAAAAGTAGAACAAAGTGCTTCGATTGTTCAACTTTATTTTATATTATATTTGTCTGGAATTAACTGTGTCTGTTTTTAGAACAATAATAGTCCAGCAAATTTTAAGAGTAGATTATAAAGGATAGACTTGTACCATCTTTCTTCATTCTTCATCATCACTTTTCATCAGGTATCTGTTCCTATATTCAGTCAATAAATCTGTATCTCGATGAATGCCTACTCAGAACATAGTAGGGATCTTCTTCACAGTTTCATTAGCTTGTGCTTCGAATAGGTTTACCTTGATGATGTGTCGAATTTGTACCTAGTTCTCACAAATCAGCTTATTTTTTCTTAGTATGACAGGTATGTATTTGTAATACTAATAACCGTAATCAATTACAGATGAGCAAACCTTGTGGCCCGAGCAGATCGTCAGGACAGTTGCGCAGGCGCTCCTCGCGGTGAAAGTGGTAGCGCGGGGAGGGGGCGCCTATATCAGGCAGACGGCTGCGCGCGCGCACCACTTCGCAACTCTCAGGTGAGATATGGCTACACTAACAAACCCCTTGAGTGATTGTGTTAAAAAGTGGTAAAAGTGTTGTGTACTATGTGTACTTTTGATTAGCGATAGGCTTTCGCGCTGATACGCATCTCGTCCGCGTTTATGTAACGTTAGGAAGTGCTTCTAGAACGATCAAGTACTTGTTTTTTTTTATTGTGGTCAAATTATTTAGCTGCAAAATAAGTTGAGAGTACCAAAAGCTCGATTTGACCGAGGGGTTTGTCAGTTGTGCCTGTTATAAAGATTCATTTTCTATTACCATTAGACATTTATTAACAATAATTAAATCCAGATCAGTGTCTTATCGTATTTTAAAAAGTAGCGTTTTCATAACGGTAATGAATTATTGTATGGTATCAGTAAATATTTTTAAACTGTATTAAGATCAAATTTTAAATCTACGTGCAAATCATGCAATGGCCATTATAGATGCGTACACACGAGTAAGCACAAGTAAATAAAATAATATCAGTCATAATTGTATTGCAGTCGAACTTTTGACACTTTAATTACAGTAACTTATAAATGTTGCCATTATTGTTTACCAATTAATTAACTTGGTGACGGATTAAGAATACAGAGTGTCGTAAGAGCCGACTAAACACTGCAGAGAGAAGGGAAACTTGACACAAACCCTATACCAACCCGTCTGGCCAGCGTGGCATAGTAGGCCAAAACCTCCTTTCTCAGGAGACGCTTATGTCCAGCAGTTTACTATTAAAGGCTGTTGATGATGATGATGATGATTAATTAATTGTTTATTAATTACCTTCATTAATGTTTTTTTTTTCTAAACTATTTCTGTCATTCTACTGTTGTGATAAGACACTAAAATTTTACATACCTCTGAAACATAGCCCCGTACCCAAGCCCCTTTTCTCGTCTACAGTTTCTTACGTGTCGTAAGTCGATCTCCCCTCGGTCACAATGAAATCCGTGGTGCTCTGCGCTCTGTTGCTGGTGGCGTGCGTGGCTGCCGCTCCACAGAGGGAAGGGGCTGCGTACACCAGGGAAGCCATCAAACAAGCACAAAGCACACACCTTATTCCTAAAGATGCAGAAATTCAAAAGGTAAGTGTATCACGTCTTTTATGAGCGTGATAAAATATTTGTATTTTGTATAAGTAGCGAACGAAACGAAAGAGCTTTGCATGGCTGAGATACTCAAAAAAGTACGTACTCAAATTGAGTTTAAGCTTATTTTCTGACGCGTTAAGCTTTTATCCTAGTACATTATAGAGAAAACCACTAACTGATCCACTTTTACGTATAAAGTAGGAAGCTCTAAAGAGAGTTGTTGACGGAGTCACCAGAATAACACTTTAAGAGTATCTTTAATATATATATATTATATTTATATGTATGTATACCTAGTACCTATATATCAGCAGGATTTTATTTCTCCTTTTCTAAAATTCTTTGATTCAGTCTCAACCTTACCTGTCCCAAAATATACACTTCACACACACAACTTTGCAACACCCAAAGGTTTGACTGGAAGAAAATGCCTGTGGCATTAAATCCGCCTTATGCAATATGTTTGCAGGACGTCTTGAGTCGTGATTTATTAAAGAATAACGACGTTTGTTTCGCGTTTATTAAAACCCCATGACAATTATTAGTTATTTAGGTACACGCGTAAAGTTGCCATATGAGGATCACTGACATCTGGATAGATATACTCATATGTGTACACTCAAATAATAATCCTTTTTGTATCTTCTATGTTGTCTATACCTTAAAGGTTTGAGTCTTAAAGAAAAGTTCACATGTAGTTTAAGACTGTTTTACATTTACAAATTACTATTTACATTAAAAACAAAAACAAGTTGCAATCTTAATACTCGTACTGTTCTCTGTGATGCAATAACCTTATATATGTATAGGAATGAACGAATTATCATAATATACATAATTAATAGAAGAACTACATCAATTGATATTCTTATTAAATGTTGTAACATCGGCTTTTGACTATCTTATGAATATTTAAAAATGTTTTTTATTATAACTTAAACAACGTTGATATGTAGATTCTCAATGAAGAAAAAATAACATAAAGTGATTTTTATAAAGTATTATGTTATTTTTAAATTAGTAGTTTGCTTATGGTTGTATACTCTTTATAAATGTTAGTATTTTATACTTTAAAACTGAAACTCACATCTAAAATCATAAAAGTTAGGAACTTTTGGAACTTTTTTTATAAATAAGGAGAACAGTTTTTAATTATTTCTTTGTCCTTAATTATCATCAATCTGTATAATTTTTTTACTGACGTATTTGGTTAGGTGCAATTGATACCATGACCAGTTATTTTCAGATGTACTGTCGATTTAGCAAACAAACTGCATAAATAAAACGTAACTTATAAGCTTTTCTACGTATGTATTTATGTATGTATGTATGTACAGCACAATCAAGGAATATATATATATATATATATATATATATTAGATATTTACATACACTTTTTTTTGTTTTAAATGACAACTCCCGCACTAGGAATACAAACTGTGTCGCGGGGGACTTTACAAACATACATGAAACGGACACAAAGGACACCCAGACTTAGAACAACAATTTGTGGATCACACAATGTGTCTTCCCATGTGGGGATCGGACCCACAACACTTAGCGTACACACTACGCCACCCGTGCAGTATATTACATATTTACGTATTTTTTACATTTCTAAAAGGCGCCTGCTTTTACTCTCAACGATTTGGTGCTAAAAGATGTCATTATCAACTTTTCACTTCAAGTAGTTTCTAACATTATTTCTTAATGAGATGTGCCCTCTGTAACTAATACATACCAATATGAATAGTCAACACGGTCAAGAACTACATCTGCATATTAACTACTCTACGCCTTTTAATCCGTGAATTAATGAAGTCTGTTCTCATTAATTCTGTCTTTAAAACTGACCTTCCACCCCTAACATTTAGATTTACTCCTTCACTTCTCAATAAAGAAGATAGTAAGAGAAGATAATACACAAAACCAACACTTCTGATTTTTGATGTTTCTTTTCATCAGGTTCAAGAAGGCATTGAGTTGGCGGCGTATGAATCAATCCCAGTAAACCAGAGGATCAACCTGTTCGAGATTTTGGGTGATCAGGTCCCCTCCGAGGTCATCAACAACCTACAGAGCCAGATCGACCAGATCGGCCACTAAGAACCCAGTTTTTGTTAGGAGTGTCTACAACGGGACGCACTAGTGGTTGCAGTACTTAGCGATGAGAGGGGTTGTTGCGCACACGCACCCGCCTTGATTCAACCGCCACTGCCTCCCGGTGGGGACACGGTCGATTTACATTTAATTTATTGGTGATGCAAGTCGAGTACAAAACAGTGAATGTGATATTGTGCAACATCACAGTTTTATACGTTTGTACATAAATAATGTTAAAAATAAATTGGATGTGCGATGTCCAACCAGCTGGTTTTGTTTTACGTAATATTTAGGGACAATGGCGTTACGCGGATGTAATCCGTAACTCGGTTACATAAGGAGGGATGTGGCGTGCACGACACGAGTTCGATTGTGGTGATGTAATCGATGATATCGTGAATATTCATAGACTTTCGTCTAGGTGAGAAATGTTTGACCGTTGAGCTTACACAAACACGAAATAAGTTTATGGTAATTAGGTAAAGCGTTAATTAAGTAAAGATGTTGCGAAGAGATGTTAATATATTCACGTCAGTATACGCTTTGGTTGCTGGGCAGGAATTTATGTTATGCGTGAATAAAAATAATGGGGCTTATTAGGTATAAAAACACCACGACTTTTACAGATATTGGAACCAAGTGAATTATCGCGCGTTACACGCGAACAGTAGCATATGGGAGCGAGGTCGAATAATGTGTAACAAGACTTTTTTCCGACACTTCAGTTGGCGAATCGACGCTCACACCTTTTTAATATTTCATATATATAGTAAACGTCTACCAAAGGCGAAAGGACTTCGTTCCGACCGAGGGTCCATAAACCCTAGAGGAGATGGGAGCAACGGTAGACGGGTCACCTGATAGAAAGCGACTACCGCTGCCCATGAACGCCTGCAACTCGGGAGTCAGCAATTTTTTTTTTAACTTTTATGTACACACATGATTATGAAATAGAGAGAGATGGTATTATAAGTAGGTATGAGAATTACTAATAAGAATTACTAACAAAACTGTGTGTGTCTTAACACGTTCACAGCGTATGTAATACATGTGAACCACTACAAAGACATCTTCATGCGTGCGTGCACCACAAATGGACCAAGAGTCTATCTAAATTGAATGCTTTTTTAAGTTTGCACTTACCTACTACACCAAATTTTACACATATGATCAATGAATTATACAATAAATTGGCCAAAAAATCTTAGATTTTCAAAACCTACGGTCCGGATTCAAAGAAACTCTGGTTTACTTAAACCTGAAATGGAATGGGGAGGATCTCTATTCTTCAAAAGTTCATACAGCGGTAATAAATATCAAGACTGTTGAATTATCATTTTTCTTTACAGTCAGTTCTTCTATGCTTTCTTAACTTTTTACCTTAAGATATCATCACATTCATCACATCACATCATCAGCCTTTGATAGTCCACTGCTGGACATAGGCCTCTCCTTAGAAAGGAGGTTTTAACCTACTATACCACGCTGGCCAGACGGGTTGGTATAGGGTTTGTTTCAAGTTTTCCTTCTCTTTGCAGTGCTGTTATGATACCATAAGATATACGTTACGATTATCCATATAATTGAAGAATATAAAATTATATCGCAACTCAATATCATTAGGTGGAAATTTTACTGCAAATCAATTGATAAATAGATACTGATGAGTTTTTAGCTTCATATGAGTTATTATTTCAGCAAAGGAAATACTCAAAACGATACAAATCAAAACTAAGCAAGTCATTAAATACATTTCTTGATGTGTTTGTTCTTGATAGATAAACTTTATATTAGCTACTGACCTGAGTACCTCTATGACTGCAATAATGTGCGAACCTTTCTAAACTAAAAAGGATAAGGTCATTCTAACTCAACAGCGTTTTTGCGATCTGTCTAAAAGGCGACTAAAGTTTGCAAAGACTTCCATTTACGGATTACATGGTTTGATTGCGACATATCAATTGACAGTTTGCCAGTGTGATTAGTAGAGAGATGAGTCGACGCAATCAAAAATATAACATACAAGTTTAACACTACGCAAATAAATTATAACCTATAGCGTAATTACATATTGAATTAGAAAAATTAAAATTGAGATTGAGATAGACTGTGACGTCCTTCGTTGCATGAGGGGTGTTTAAGAAAGGTGCTCGTTTTCGGCTAATAAAGAGGAAAACAATAGTTTTCAACAAATTGAACTTCCTCTTATCATCTTATCATTGTTGCTTTTGTGTGTGTTGATCTATGACTTTAGAGTCTACATAAAAGACGATTTCAAACAATTTTGAAAATTTTATAAAATAAAGAGAGTTTGAGTTTTAATCTAACTTGCAAGTTTGTAATTAACATAATAAGGCGAGTCTGAAGTCTTACTTTACCAGTTTTTGACTAGAACATTACTGAACCAAACTAAGGCTTTTTTTTGTTGTTATATAAGTATAAAAATAGAACAGACAGTTTAAATTTTTTTCTTTAAATTCAAATAAATAATAGTTAATGAATTTATTAAAATACTTATTAAATTAAAACATTAGTGTAAAGGGATTTACATGATAATAACATTTTTCACTCAGTAAATTTACAATAATAAACCGAATTGAATTTAACAAGTCTGGTAATTGTAGTAGTTTATTATAAATGTTCGACCATATTTTTTTCACATAAATGTTGTTTCTTTAGTATGTGTAGAAAGAAAGTTTGGTATTATCACCTGTATCATCACAATAATGATAATGGTGTTATCACAAAACAGTTTTTGTCTCCGGAATAAGGCAAGCTACATTTATTACAAAAATGTTTTAAACAATTGAAGCTAATTCTAAGATATACCAAGAGAGTAAGGTTAGTATCTCAAATATATTTTTTAATATATAACCTCAGCGTTCGGTTGTTTGCGCTTCTAGAGGACTGCGACCGAAGGGTGACGGTCGCAACGGGTGACGAGACCCGTCTGGGGTGAAACGGATCAATGTCTATGCGGGTTGGCGCAGGAATGCAATTGCGATTCTCGCTCCCCGGCCATTGGTAAGGACATAAACACGGAGGTGGTTTTTAATCGGTAAGAGTCCGCCAGACCCCTTCGTCATCCCCCACTGAGCGAAGGACATCCATGAGGATCTTCCGCCCCGTTTACAAAAAAAAAACGTACTGTAGTTCGCTAGCAAGTTCTCGAGATTAGACTACTCACGTGCCCTATTAATTCACGCTATTTACAGACATTGCTATTTTAAAATCAGACAATTTTACTGGTGACTGACTGTTATTTATAAAACTAGGTATGAAAATAATTGAAACATTAACAAGATTTACATTGTAACATTGTTGAGTTAGACGATTATCTTTTTAACAGACTTCAAAATAGAAGGAGCATTTTCAATTTAATAATATAAAAATCATACATTATCTGAACAAATCATACCGAATCGACTGACCATTACGGGATTATGGTCAGGGTTGATTACTGTACTTGTATACCTTGCTACAAAACAAGTTTATTTCAGACAATGTATGTAAAATATTATGCTCGTTGTGGTAACAACAGTTTTATTTATTTTGTAAATGATGGATCTCGCTGTTACTTCATAATATGTTCATGTAATAAAGTTACCGATTCTTTTTTTTTTTGTTAAGTATCTCGCAATCAGTCCTTAGACTGTAAGCAGATAAGTTGAAGTGGTTATGACTTGGCGGGCCTGTTGGTCTAGTGGTTAGTGACCCTGACTGCTAAGCCGGATTCGATTCCCACCCAGGACAAATATTGTGCGATGAGCATGGTCATTTGTTCTGTGTCTGGGTATAATTTATCTGTAATACGTATGTATTTAAACATATGTGAGTGAGTTTATCAGCAGTCTGGTTGCCATAGGCTTTGCCTAGTTTAGGAACGTTTTGTGGATGTAGCTACATTCCGCATTCTTTAACACTTGTCTTATGAGGAGTGCTCCAAGGAATTGTCCGAGCTTATACCATCGTTCAATGCGATAGAATATTAATCCCTATCATTTAGATAATTGACACTCCAACACTGTGAGCTTTTGTCTTTTATAACCAATCCATAAAAACGAATGGTAGTTCCGAACCGATACGATATTTAAGCGATTTAAAGAGCTTACGTCCTCCGGTGGGAGGACGTAACGTTCGTCAACGGACCTTTTACTTGAGTTCCTCCTTTCGTTTGGTCCCTATATCATAAACAAAACGTACCACATTAACTTAATGATTTGTTGCTCTCTGTTCCTTATTAGAATATACATAACTAGCTTTGCCCGCGGCTCCGCCTGCGTATATGTCGGTTATCGCGGTAAAAAGTAGCCTATCCTTTCCCATAACTCAAACTATCTCTATAACAAATTTCATTTAAATTGGTTCAGCGGTATTTGAATCCCCATAAAAAGTTCCACCCCCTTAAAGGTTGATTTCTATTCTAGTTTTTATCCCAGAATTCGTCATAATGTCCTTTCCCGGGACTCAAGCTATCTCGATACCAAAATTTCATCTAAATCAGTTCAGTTGTTTAAGCGTGAAGAGGTAACAGACAGACAGACAGAAAGACAGACCGACATACTTTCGCATTTATAATATTAGTATGGATTATATAGCGAATGAAATATTGGCCAGCGTAACCTATTGCGAAATTGAAAGTTACAAAGTTCACAATAAGCTGGAAACTATGGTTAGCTGTTACGTCATAGTTCACTATTGATAATGATCTCACGAACCTTGCTACCATCAAGAAGACGCTATGCGATTATCCTATACCTATTACTTATATTTCTATAACGAGCTGTCTCATCATCATCATCACATCAACAGCCTATAATAGTCCACTGCTGGACATAGGCCTCTCCTTAGAATGGAGGTTTTGGAGGTTTTGGCCTACTATACCACGCTGGCCAGACGGGTTGGTATAGGGTTTGTTTCAAGTTTTCCTTCTCTTTACAGTGCTGTTGTCCTGCGTAGTTTGCTCCCTCAGTCGCCTCTTACGACACCCACGGGATGAATAG